GCCGCAGTCGTAGTCGTAGTCAGTGCCGAAGCAGCAGCAGCAGTCGTAGTAGTAGTAGTAGTAGTAGTAGTAGTAGTAGTAGTAGTAGTAGTAGTAGTAGTAGTAGTAGGAGTAGGAGTAGGAGTAGGAGTAGGAGTTGGAGTCGTAGTAGTAGTCGTAGTAGTAGTAGTACTAGCAGTAGTCGTAGCATTCGTAGTAGTAGTCGTAGTCGTAGTCGTAGTCATCGTAGTAGTAGTAGTCGTCGTCGTCGTCGCCGTCGTCGTAGTAGTAGTCGCGGTAGTGGTCGTAGCCGTAGTCGTAGGAAGCGCATACGTAGTCGTAGTCATAGTCATAGTCGTAGTTGTTGTTGCTGTTTCCGTCGCTGCTGCCGTTGTTGCTGTCGTAATTGATGTAGTAGTTGTTGTTGTTGTTGTTGTTGTTGTTGTTGTTGTTGTTGCTGTTGCTGCTGCTGCTGCTGCTGCTGCTGTTGTTGTTGTTGAATATTATTACTTCTAAAGAATAATTATTGTTGGGCCCCCTGGTGCACGCCCCCCCCGCCGCGCCTAGGCCGCAGCCACGTTTTCATCATTTTCGTGAGGAAGCCTCAGGTAAAACGATGTGATCCAGATCCGGTTGTTTTGTTGTAATCCGTTTTCCCTTGCAAAAAACACTATAAAATGACATTTCTTGTTCTAATATAATCAAATTTCAAGAATCCCTTGCAAAAAATAAGGTAAAGTGGACATTCGCGCGCGCAAGACGAAATCCTTCCAAAAGCTTAGTGTTCGGAGCGATTTTAACATAAAAACATCAAAAAACAATGGTTTTTCAACAAAAAAATGTCAAAATCTCATCCCGCGCGCTCTTGCGGATTCGTAGGAAACCCAACACTTTTTAAACATTTCTGTCAAACGGGTTTTTGCGAGCAACATGCCTGTATGGCGTTCTTTCGGGCAGTCCGAGTATGGGAATATCATGGATTACCGTGTGGATCTGGGTATGCCGGCGCATGTCCAGGGCGTCCTGGCGGTATTGGCGCCCCACGGACGCGCGGGCGATGTGTCCGTGAGGAGGCGTATCGGCACCATGCTGGGACACTTGGCCCCTGATGTATGGGTGCCAGGAGCGCAGCTTGCAGTATTGCGCCCGATGCGTGCCATTAGGGACAGGCGCATGCCAGAAGACGATGAGCACACAGACTCGTCTCTTTAGTATGCTTCCAGAGCACGTATGCGTCCGCCTCGCCTTGTCCTGCTGCTCCTCCTCCTCCTCCTCCTCCGGCGGGGCACCCATGGGGACAACCATCGGGACCACCATCGGAACAACCATCGCGGCAACCATGGGGACAACCATCGGGACAACGATCGGGACAACCACAACCATCAGGACAACCATCGGGACAACCATCGGGACATCCATCGGGACAACGATCGGGACCACCATCGGGGCAACCATCGGGAGAACCATCGGAACAACAATCGGGACAATCATCGGGACACTCATCGCGACAATTATCGGGACAACCACAACCATCAGGACCTCCAACCAGAGAGAGGTAGTCACGTGTATTTCGTCGACGAGTGAGCCAGTATTGCACATTGAGGCCGGAACGAGAACCACAGAACAAGAATGAACATATATCGTCTCACAACAACGGAAACAAGTCCTGTGGTATGCTGGCGCCACGCACGTGATACCAGTCAAAATAAGGGTCTTGGCTTGTGTGGTACAGAAACGTTAAAACGTCGGAAAACGGTACACGTGCCCATTGTTGGAACAGGGGTATAAGTCGTATACTAAGCTAGTTTCCACAAGATGTTACCACAAGAAGTCATTGTAACCATGCGCCAGTGTAGTAGCCAAGGTCGTCCGCAGGCCACGAAGTGAAGTGTCCGAACGTCATAGGGCGGGAAGCTGGGTGTGGGTGGTGGCGAAGAGTCGTTTGGAAACTTGGTAGAGCTTGAACCGGCCCCCCCACAAAGTGGGGGTATTGCCCGCCTCCTATGAAAACCCTGGCACTGGTGAGAACGGAGTGTCCCCAGTCTTAAATGATTGTTGTTGTTGTTGTTGTTGTTGTTGTTTTTGTGTGTGTGTGTGTGCGTATGCGTGTGCGTGTTTATTTGCGTCTGTGTGCGTAAGCTGTCCCGCCTGAGGGCCCAGCCGCGCGCGCCCGCTCCTGTCGTTTTTCGATGTACTCACCTAGTCGTTGCGCGCGAGGTCGCGCACGCCAACAAGTCTGAGTGTGTGTGCGCGTTTGTAAGTGTTCTCATGGAGGCGGCCTGCGACGGCTCCAGGATTCGAGATTGTGGGGACGAAATCGGTGGGAAAAACACGATGTAGCCGCATGGTTCTCAAGCCATGACCTCTCGGGTGTTTTTTCGGTCTGATTCTGGAGCACGTTTGAAGGCTTCGATGTTCTGGGGTTTCCAGTTCAGCGACAGATGGAAGGTCACGTGAAGGCGCCGGGAAAATCAGCTACGTGAGCTGATTCTCAAACCCCCCTTTTGCTACCCCCCCCTTTCGCCTGGCCCGAGCATCGGCATCCGCATAGGTGTCCGCATAGTAATCCGCATTCGAGTCTGGTCCGCAGTCGTCGTCGTCGTCGTCCACGTCGTCCACGTCGTCCACGTCGTCGTTGTCGCTCGTCGCCCGTCGCTCGTCGCTCATCGTCCTCGTGCGCGCGGACGCGGCTGAAGTTTTTTTTATCCCGGGACGATGACGGCAATCATTTCGGGGGCTGGGGGGTGGAGGGGGCCGATGACGTCACGTTTCGCGCCGGCGGCGTCTGGGAATGCCTATGAATGACCGTGGTCGGGTAGAACCAGCATGCAGGTGGCGATCTGCACCACACCGCCTGTATACACCACAGTACCATCATGCACCGCAGCGCTTTTGTGCACCACAGCAGCCGCGTGCAACACAGCGCCAGTGTGTGCCGCAGTGCCTGCGGCCACCACGGTGCTCGTGTACACCACAGCGCATGCGTACACTACATCAGCCGTGTGCAACACAGCACCAGTGTACACCACAATGCTTGCGTACACTACAACGCCTGTGTACACCACGGCGCTTGTATGCACCACAGCAGCCGTGTGCCACAGAACGCCACTGTTGCATATGGTTTTTGTTCAAGGGGTCCTTCTGGCAAAATGGAGCGCTTATGGATTCCACAGAAAACAATTGTTTCATATAGGGTTTGGAAAGGAACCCGTATGGAAAACGGTGTGCAGCTGGAATGTACGGGTCGACCCGAGTCCGCTTGCATTATTTTAATTCCTACCATCTGCGTCCAGGAGGCTCCAGCAGAAATGGCCGTCCGAGAACCAAGTGGATTTGATTCAATGGACCATTCCGCGGTGCACTCTGGGATGCGCACGTGCGTTGTAGCGCCGACCCGCACGACAGGGGGAACGGTGGGGTAGGAGGAGGAGGATGAGGAGGAGGAGGAGGAGGAAAAGGAGGAGGAGGAGGAGGAAAAGAAGGAGGAGGAGGAGGTGGAGGGGGGAGGGAATTTTCTTGGCGTGGCGTTCGGCATTCTTTTGTCAGCAATTCCTGGCGTGGCGTTTAGCGGTCCGCAGCAGATCCTCACCGACATTCTCCGTTTACTTGTCCTGTGCACGCAGGCGCCGTGGTTCAAACCAGCGCTGCGTTGCTCGCGGATGTTGTCGTGTAGACGTGCGCCGTGGTGTGCACGGGCGCTGCCATGCACGCAAGCGCTGTGGTGTGCCCAGGCGCTGTGTTGCACATGGTTGTTGCGGCGTACACATTCGCTGCAGTATACACCGGCGCGGTGGTACACCGGCGCTGCGTTGCACACGGCTGTTGCGGTGTACGCAAGCGTTGTGGTGTACACCCGCGGCGTGGTGCACGCGAGCACCTTGGTGTACACAGGCGCTGTGGGGCAGATCGCCACCTACATGCTTCTCGCGTCGTCGTCGTCGTCGTTGTCGTCGCTCGTCGCTCATCGTCATCATGCGCGCGGGCGCGGCTGTTGTGCCGGAGCCACACGGCAGGGGGGGCGTTACGTCATAGTTTCCCCCGCCCTCCCCATTTCGTGACGCCAGTCATCGCCGAAAATACAGAAGCGCTCCTATGGCCTAGAGAACCCGTGGAGGGAAAGGGCTTTTATATTGGATTTTGCATCGATTGAGGCCCCTCGTCCTTGGGACCCCATACCCCCTCAGGGCTGAATTCTTGAATCGCCGAGGTTGAGCGTTGCAGGGAGCGCGGTCAAGATACTGAAACAAGGAACCGTTTTGTTTCGGAAGAGGCGCCCTGTTCTTCAAATGCGGTTGCGTCCAAAAATGAGTGTCGCCCTTTGCTGTGAGGGTTTTAAAATGAAACACGAGCACCCTTTGTGCATGTTGAAATGCCGAAGACTGCTGAATGCCGTTCGGCACCTGTGCTCTAGGATGCAAAGTATGTGCCGTGGCTGCGGGCCGTCATGTGCTTTCTTTCCAAAACGCGACGGTGTCATGCCGGTCCGTGCTGTGCCGTGCCTGCGTCGTCGATTCTAGAGCCGTTCCGTGTTTGTCCTTGCCGTGCTTGTTCCATTCCAGACTTGTTCCGTGCCGTTTTGTGCTGTTCCGTGCCGTGCCGTGCCGTGCTTGCGTGCCGTGACGTGCCATGCGAAAACCTCCCGTACCGTGCCGTGCCGACTTTGTGTCTAGTCATGGTGATGCAGCGATGATGCTTAAGACATCCATGGCAGTGTACTCTGACGTTCCTTATGGCACCAGCTCGACTGCAGATGTGGGGCGGAGGAGGGAAGGCAGGCACGGTGAGGGAATTTCGGGTGAACTTGCGGGCTGTTTGACTTTGGCAATGGCGCTTGTATATCCGTGGTCGAACTTACTTGGTCTGGCGTATTCCCGCTCCACTCCGCCTACTTGATCCCAGCCTCCATCTGGGCTGATCTGGTTAAGCGGCGCTTTGAAATTACTCAATGGCTTTGACCAGCTATCAAGAAGACTTCAGGGAGTTGCCTCCCACGGGATGGTGGAGGGAAGGGGCGCGCCAAGGTGGCGCCACGACGTGGTTGCGGAGGGGCGGGCGGACCTCGACGATGTTGGGTGCACGGAGCGCAAGGAGCGGTGGGACGACTACTGCGGCACGAGCGACGTGAGGATGGTGTACGTCCCCGCCGTCGCCCTGGTGGTGGACGGCACGAAGGCTTGACCAGCAAGGCCACGCGCGCACCCGGGGGCGCTCGCCATGAATTGGATCAGAAAGTTTCAGTTTCATGCTAGCCAGCGTGAATCCCAAACCGTGTGACTCTGGCAGAATATGTTTCAGAGTATGCGTTGTGCAATCTTTGTGGTGCTAGCAATGTTGTGCCGTACATCTATGTGTATGTAAAGATATTGCAATCGATGTGGTGCAGATCCTGTTCTGCCATAAATATCGTGCAACATATGTAGCGACATGGATGTTGTGAGCCGTCCGAAAGCGCGCCTCAGACGCGAACGACACATCGTGCAATCTGTGGAGTGCAATCTGCGTGGGGCACGCTACTTGGTGCAACCTATGTGGTGCAATATATGTGGTGCAATTAATCACTTGCTCAACTTGAAGCTGTCCTCTCCACTGCTCGCGCAACCATCCCACCCTCCCACCCGCAACTTGGTCGCAAGACCTCTTAAGACCGTGACGGTGGGTACCGAATGGCACTTGGCAGCGACACCGACGCCGACGACGACAGCGACGACGCCGACGACGACGCCGCCGACAACGACACCGACGACGTCGACGACGACAACGACGACGACTACGACAACACCGACGACGACGACGACGACGATGCCGACGCTGACGGCGACGACGACGATGACAACGCCGACGACGACGACGCCGCCGACGACGACGACGACGCCGACGACGACGACGACGACGACGACGACGGCGACGACGAAGACGACGACGACGACGACGACGACGACGACGACGACGACGAGGGAGGAGGGGGGACGACGACGTTGACGACGACAACGACAAGGGAGGAGGGGAGACGACAACGACGACGACGACGACGACGACGGCGATGAAATAGGAGGGACAGCGACGAAACGTCGTCGAAGACGACGACAAGGGAGGAAGGACGACCATGGCGACAACGACGACGGAAACGACGACGACGCCAAGACGACGACGACGACGAGGAAAGACGGAGGACGACGACGGCGACGACGACGACGAGGGAGGAGGGAGGACGGCGATGACGACGACGACGCAAGAGCGCGCGCGCGCGCTTTTGTTGAAAATCCGTGTTGCAAAACCTTGTGTTGTTGTATGTTTATTGGACGCACGATTTTGAACTCCTTCCCAAAACCAAAGGTTTTGAAGGATTTCGGCATGCGTTCGACAGGCTTCGACATGCGCGCGCGAAGACCGTTTGGCAGCCTTTTTTTGACAATCTTGTAAAAACCTACGGGTTTCTCAAGATTTCGCAAGAGCGCGCGCGTAAGCTTTTTGTTAGGAAACCAGTGCTGCGAATCCATGTGTTTTTTGCATGTTTTTGGGAGCTCGATTTTGAAACCCTTCCGAACCGAAGGTTCTTGAAGGATTTCGGCATGCGCGCGCGACGACGCGTGCGTGCGCAATTCGCCCCGTTTTTCGCAAGGGATTCTTGACAACTTGTGATGTATGGTAAGCTAGACTGCGCGCATAGTTCTTATGCAGAGGAGGGCGGGGGGGCGTGATGCTGGCCTGGCTGGGATAGTATGAACTCGTAGTTGGGATGGACGGGTGCACATATGTAAATTGCAATACGAAAAGGTGTACCGTTAATTCCAGGGGGGGGGAGTACAGGCTCTTTTGGGAAAGGAGAATTGATTTAAACAAGCGGGTTGAGACATCCCATGCTCGTGCAAACATCCCACCCACCCATCCGCGAATTGGTTTGCAAAGCCCATGCGGTGGCGATTGCGATGCATGCTTAGCCTTGGTTGGTGCATCTTTGCGGCCGCGCTAACCCAAGCACGCGCGCGCAGCGGCCAGCTAGTTTGGCGCGACCGACGCGGCCGCGGTGGCGCTGACCGTTAGATCCCAACGGGCATTTCACTGCGAGTCGGCGACTTGGGCGGGCGCGGTACCATGGCAACGCCGACAAATGGTAGACATGGTGATGCTGGTAGCGCTGCTGGTGACGGTGCGGACAACGACGAAGGCGCGGCCAATGCGGGCTCTGTGAAGATTTCATAATCGAATGTCGATCAAAAACATATAAAGCACAAGGCTCTGCAAACCACATAAACCAAGTTTGTGCGCGGCTGCAACCTCTTAGTGCACCATGCGTTTTTTGTTTACAACGCGCTACCCAAAAAAGGCTTCGCGCGAGCGCGAAGCAAATGCGCGCGCGTCGTCGCGCATGCATGCCGAAATCCGCCACACACTCTGGCATTCACAGCGCAGTCAAAGCCGAGTGATCAAACAACATACAACAACACACGGTTTCAAAAAAATACGTGTCCAGAAAAAGAACAAACACCACAACATGCGCAGTTCTGCCAAAGGGGCCTCTCACGCCGCACGCCGTTTGCAAGAGGTTTTTGAACATGTATGAAAATTGATCATCAAGTGTGCGCTCATATTTTTTGGCAGTGGGTGGGGTGGGGGGGATACCGCTTGGGTTGGGGTGGTATGAGTTCAGATTTCGGATGGACGATGGGGCGGGATCGTAAGCACATTACAACGCGAACAGGGGGGCGGATAATTCCAGGGGGGGGCATCGCGTGTTTTTTTCCCGCAAGTGTATATATATATATACATATATGTATACTTAGATGTATAACCATATGTATATATATATATGTATATATGCATATATGTATATAAACATACATATATATGTATTCCACCAAACAAAGCAAAATGATAATTTTCGTGGCGCAATCCAGGACGTGCAGGAAGTAGATCGCAAGCTATGTGGTTGTCCAATATGGGTTGTACATTCCCGGTGGTACTTTCAATGTTGTGCAGTGTATATATATATATACATATATATGTATATATGTGTATATTGTACACTATAGATGTACATATATATATATATACACATGTATACATACACATAGGCGTATGTACATATGAAAGAGCGTGTTCTACCGCTGCTGGCGGACAACCGGGGGGGGTCACTACCGGTTCGAACCCCTCCCCCCCATCTCCGGAAAACCGGGGGGGTCAGTACCGGTTCGAACCCCTCCCCCCCCCCCCAGTTCATCATCAAAAGGGGGGGGGGTCACTACCGGTTCGAACCGCCCCCCCCCCCCCTCTCGAAAAGCGAGTGGGGGTGCGGACAGTGGTGGGGACGGCGTTGGTGGGGACAGTGGTGAGGGGACAGCGGGACAATGGTGGGGACAATGGGACAGTGGGACAATGGTGGGGACGGTAGTGGTGGGGACAGTGGTGGGGACAATGGTGGGAACATGGGGGGGGACAGTGGACAGTGGTGGGGACGGTGGTGGTGGGGACAGTGGTGTGGGGACAGTGGGAATGAGGTGGAAACAGTGGGACAGTGGAGGGTACAATGGTGGTGGGGACAGTGGTAAAGGCGGTGGCGAGGACGGCGGTGGGACAATGGGACAGAGGTACAGTGGGGACAGTGGTGGGGACAGTGGGGACAGTGGTGGGAACAGTGGGACAGCTCAGTGGGACAGCGGAGGAGTCAGTGGGACAGTGGGGACAGTGGGGATAGGCAGTGGTTGGGTCCGTGGAGACAGTGGGGAGAGTGGAACCGTGGTGGGAACAGTGGTGGGAACAGTGGGGACAGTGCGACAGTGGTGGGGGCACTGGTGGGGACAATAGGGACGGTGGTGGAACCAGCGGGGACAGTGGTGGTGAGGACAGTGGTGCTGGGAACAACAGTGGGGGATGTGATGCGAGCGGTGGTAGGGACCGGGAGTCGTTTGCTGGCGGTGCGTGGGGGGGGGGTCAGACTGGTAGTGACCCCCCTCCGGTTTTCGAGAGGGGTGGGGGGGATTCCAACCGGTAGTGACCCCCCCCCGGGTTTTCCAGATCCGGGGGGGGGGGGGGGGAGGGATTCGAACCGGTAGTGACCCCCCCCTCTGTTTTCGGGGGGGAGAGGGGAGGGGGGGGTTAGGGGGGGGGGTTTGCCGGGGGAAGAGGGGGGGGGGCCAGCAGGGGGGGGGGGATTTTCGGAGAGGGGGGGGGGGGAGACCCCCGGGTTCCGGAGGAAAAGGTTGGCAATTTTCCAAGCAGTAAAGCGGCGGTGGATCACGCTCTCTCGTACATATCCATGTACATGTATGTTTGCATGTATGCATACATACCTGTATATAAATCGGAGGTTCAGGGTGAGATCGCATTGGAACGGGAGCCCCGTACGGGGAAATCGTTTCGTATCGTTCGTGTCGCGCGTGCAGGCGAGGCGATGTTGTGTGGGCGCGCGAGTGGAGTGAACCCGCCGTTGCCAGGGCGAAGTCAAGACAAATGATTGTCCCCTCTCCCGCCCGTCCGGCGGTGGCCCGCGGTGTCCCGCGGTGTCCCGTGGTGTCTCGTGGCGTTCGCCGCTGCCAGGGCGAGGTCAAGACAAATGATTCTCCTACTCCCGCCCGTCCGGCGGTGGCTCGCGGTGTCCTGTCGTGTCCCGGGGTGTCCCGTGGTATCCGCCGCTGCTTGGGCGAATTCAAGGCAAATGATTCTCCCCCGCCCACCCGTTCGTCCGTCCGTGCGGCGGTGGCTCGCGGTGTCCCGCGGTGTCCCAAAGTATCCCGTGGTGGCCCGTGATGTCCTGTGGTGTCTCTTTGAGTGAAATCGATCGCGAGATCGATAGTGCGATCGAAACTGCGATCGATACTGAGATCGATGTGGTGCCCCGAGTTGTCCCGTGGTGTCCCGCGGTGTCCCAAAAAAGTGAGATCGATATTGAGATCGACAGGTGTCCCGTGGTGTCCCGTTAGGTAAGATCGACAGCGATATCGATACTGAAATCGATATTGAGATCGATGTGGTGCCCCGAGGTGTGCCGTGGTGTCCCTTGGCGTCCCAAAAAGTTAGAGCGATAGTGCGATCGATCGTGAGATCGACATGTTTCCCGTGGTGTCCCGTGGTGTCACGTTGAGTGAGATTGATAATGAGATCGATAGTGAGATCGATGTGGTGTCCTGTGGTGTCCTATGGTGTCCCGTCGAGTGAGGTCGATAGTGAGATCGATAGTGGAACCGATAGT